GATGAGGTTTGGGTGTGGAGGGAGATTCCCCCTGAAAGGAACCAACTTAGGGGGCTCTCCTCTGTTTCCAAATACTCCCCGCCCCCATAAGGAAACATTCCAACTCTTCCTAAACATCAAAGCAACCCTGGAGTCTACAGGGGAAAGGAGACAAGGTAGAGAGAGGGGTCCATTCATTACACCTTCCGCAACCCAGTTCTCGGCAGCGCTAACTTCATTGGTGTGACAAGGCAAGGTCAGTGTTGCCAAGGTTAATTCATCAAGGATGTGTGGACACAGCAGAGTGAGGGCATTGTGAGGAGCCAGCAAACTGGGTTGTTGTATTGACAAGGCCATAGGGGCGGGAGTGCGGGAGGCAACACAGCTGATGACAGGCTCCCACAAAGTAGTTTAAGGAAAATCCATCTCAAGCCAGCTTGGGCTCCGGACTGACCTGGGTTCAAATCTATCACTGTCATGTCCTAGCTGGGTGATCCTGGACATGTAACTTAATCTCTCTGTACCACCGTTTCCTCCTCTGTAACATGGGGAAAACAGGACCTACCTATGGAGTTATTATGAGGAATAAATGAGATGAGGAACAGAAGAAACTTAGAAGCCTACATAGCACTTGGCATGTGGTGAATCAGCCTTAAGACACAGTAATGGCAATGACTGTAATTCCCAAAGTGAGTCAAGTTCATCCATATGTTCTGAGTGAAATCTATGCTAGGCATTGTGGAAAAACAAAAGTTGAGTATGATACAGTCCCTCCTGCAGAGGCAGGAGGCAGGGGTCATATCACAAGAGATCTTCAAGCCAAAGCAAGAAGTCTGAACTTTATCCTGAGAAAAACTGGGAGCTGTGGAAGTAAAACCTCCCAAGTTTTAGTAGAGTTGAGGGAATGGAGGCCTGTGAAGACAGGATACATTGCTTCTCTTGCTGCCAAATCAACTGTCATCTTACTGGTTCCTTAAGTCCCAGCAAAAGAGGCCTGAGGGACAGCAAGAAACAGACAGAGGCAGGGAGAACAGTGAAGAAGGTGAGTATGGGCTTCTCAATGACAGGGTTAGCTCTCGTGGTCTCTCTGCCAGTATGTCTGAGAGATTAACAGAGCCCCCAGCCCATCTGAAGCTACAAGGTTGCAGAATAAACGCCCCCTCCAAACAGCGCTTCACGTGGCAGCCAAGAGCTTGCTGCCAAGAGGCAAGAGGCCAAGATTTCTTTCCAACAGAGATATCCCCTTGCCAATCAAAATACAGCCAGCGCACAACCCAGAAAATTGGACTGTTTGCCATCAGTGAAGCAGATGACACCAGCCTCCCAGCAAGGGGAAAGAGCCATACCACAAGGACCTAAACACCTATTTCCTCCCCCCGTACCCCCCACGTTTAATGTCCATAGATCAACCAGATGAGAGCACAGCTTCTACAGTTGAAACACACGGGTTCTATGCCAGCCCCTTCACTGAGCAGCTGTGCAACCTGGGGCAAGTCACTTAACCTTTCTGAGACCCACCTGTATCCACACCATGGGGTTCATACCACATAGAGTTGTTAGGGGGATTAAATAAGATTATATTAAGAAGTGCTTATCAGCACCTGGTGTTTAGTCTGTGCTCAATAAATGCTTGTTTCTGGTATCCTATATAATAAAAGCATAATATGCAAATCAACCAAATGGTGGAGTGACCAGTCGCTATGACGTGCACTGACCACCAGGGGGCAGACGCTCAATGCAGAAGCTGCCCCCTGGTGGTCAGTGCACTCCCACAGGGGGAGTGCCGCTCAGCCAGGAGCCAGGCTCACGGCTGGTGAGCAGAGCGGTGGTGGTGGGAGCCTCTTCCACCACCTCCGCTGCAGGCGGGCGGTAAGGAGTGAGGGGTCCCAGACTGCGAGGGGCACAGGCCAGGCTGAGGGTCCCCCCACACAGTGCATGAATATCGTGCACCGGGCCTCTAGTCTATAAGATGCTTCATCCATCTAGAACTCAGCTAACTGACAATATCAGCTATCCAGAATTAGGGCTGGGAACCAGAAAAGGCATCCAAGGAGTTAAAATACTAGTACATGTCAGAGTGAACACACAGAAAATCCAATCATGAAAAACATTTAATATAATATTAGTAATATTATTGTCCTAGAATTAACATAATAGTAATATATTCATTAGAAACCCCCTTCCCCCAAGCCTTGGGCCTGACCATTCAAATAATCTTGTCATTTAACCAGCTGTGTGCTGGTGAATGCTTAACAACCAGGTCTCTGGAGAAAGAGAGTTCTGATGTGTACCATTTCCACGGTGTAAATCCTCCCACCATGGTCAATGTCAAGCTCCCACTGTGATGTTAGTACACCTAGAGTTAAGAACCGAGGCTGTCAGCTTTGATCACTACTGCATTAATCTTCCCACATCCTTATGACATCAGTGCTATTTTAGCCCCATTTTCTAGACAAGGATGGTGAAGCTCAGAGACATCCATTTCCTTGTTCAAGGTTATACAGTGAGAAGCTGCAGCAGCACCATAATTTGAATCCAGGTCTGTGTGGATTTCAAAGCTCACACTCTGCAGTTGGCTCAAATTCTCCCCGTTCACAAATAATACTTTCTTTCCTCCTCCCCAAACTCTTGCATTTTCTGAGCCCATCGCTGTTCGATTATTGCCTGGAGGCCACTTTCCCAGCAAGTCACTCTTGTTTGGCTCTACAGGCCTTCCTGTCATCCTATCTGCTGTGACCTTGGTGACCTTCCCACTTCTCTTTTCCCAGGTAGTGAGAGACGCGCCTCTTCCCCACTCCAGACAGATGAAACCACATGCTTCCCTAATAAAACAGCTGAAAGACCCACATCCCCTATGTCCTCACCTCCATAAATAGCCCCTCATGACACAGGGGCCCTGTTGGCTGCATCTACACATCCTCTCAGTTTCTTAAACTCTAATGTTCACAAGAATGACCCGAGGTCTAAGCACAGATTCTGATTCTGGATGTCCAGCGTGGGGCTGTGTCCCAGCATTTCATCAGGCATTCAAGTGATGCTAATAGAATAGTCCATGGTGAACTACACTTTAAGTAGAGAAGGTCTAAATCCCAAACATTCAAATCCCCCAATTGCTTGTGGGAGCCCTACATTCATTCCTCTGTGTTTCAAGGTTCTATAAATCCCCAAAGCAATGAGGAGCAGAGAGGCAATGACAGGGAGGGGGCTAATATTATTCAGCACTCTTGACTATAAGCAGCAGACGCCCAACTCAAGGTAGCTTAAGCATAAAAAGGAAACCGTTGCTTATATCTTAATAGTGCAGGGATAGCTTCAGGCATGGCTTGATCCAGCAGCTCAAACAATATGGACAGAGTTTGATCTCTCACTTTTGTTTCTGCTTCCCTGATAGTCCTCATTCTCTCTCACCATGGCTAGCTCTTCCAGTAATCTGGGAAACTGGTTGCCGGCAGCCCCAGAGTCACACTCTCCCAGAAGAAAAGGACTCTTCTTTCCCCACCCACCATGTTCATGTAAGAACATAGGCAGGTTTTATTGGAACACAACCACATTCATTCAAGTACATATTTTCCATGGTTGCTTTCCTGTTACAACAGCACGGGTTGAGTGGTTACAACAGAAACCATGTGGCCCGTCAAGCATAAAATGTTTACTATCTGGCCATTTTCAGAAAAAAAACGATTTTACACAGCAATAATAGCAGTAATAACACTTAGCTAAACTAACATACACACTGTATGTCAAATACAGTTGTAGGCACTCGTTTGCTTCTTACAACAATGCTATGAGGCGGGGAAACTGAAGAGTGAAGAGGTTAAGCACACTCAACTCAAGGTCAGGCAGCGAGCAGCACAGATGAAACTAAAATTCAGCAGCCTGACCCCAAATCCCATAATTATAACAGCTCTACTAATCAAACAAGGGTCTCCAGGAAGCTTCAGTAAGTAGGTGTCTAAATCAGGGTGTGATTTTCCAACTACTGGTTCAAGAAACACACATACACATTTGCTGAAGCAAAGTAGTGAATCTTATACAGCTCCCTCTGCTATTGCATTGTTTAGTGCTGTCTATCAGTGCTGTGATGGACAGAGCTGTCCCAGTGAGCCATCAGGATTACCTGGTGGACAGGGTGGACCAAACCCCATGAGCTAACCAAGGCTGCACATCCCAGAAGTGGGGGCTTTAATGCCACACAAGTCCGATATGAGCACCGGCTCCAGGCACAGGCTCTACTGATAAGTGAGTTCAGGGCTTCCCCATGGGTCTGGGTTCAAAGTCTGGTGCTGCAACTTACCAGTTGTGTGACCCCAAGGCATTTCCTCTCTCTGAGCCTTAGTTTCCTTGTCTATAAAAATGGTTGTAATGGAAACACCTTATGAAGGGTAGTTGTGACTTTAAGAGACAAAATATAGCAAGCATTTGGCATAGAATGTGAACACTAAGAGAATGGGGCTTTGTAGTTAGAATGGCCTGGCTTCAAATCCTGTCTGCACTACAGTGCTGTGCAACAGCTATTCCACTGAGCCTCAGTTTTCTTATCTACACAATGGGAATCATTATAAAACTTGCCTCTTGGGTTGCTGTGAGAATTAACTGAGCCTGTGGGCGGTTAAGGGTCAACATAGTAAAATGCTCAATTTTAGCTTTTAAGAATACCATCAACCAAGACATGCAAGAGATTATTGTCTCAGCAATGCAATGTACCCTTATTTTCTGAGCTAAAGGTGACATGAACTGGCCTTTGGGAAGCCTGTCCCAGCCGCTGGTGAGGTGATCCAATGTTCCAGGGTCCCGATGTTGGGGGAGCCAGCCCTGCAAACACCCAAACTCTATGCAGCTCCTTGCTGCTGTGGTTTTGGGTTGGGTCCCCAGAGGAGGCATCCTTCTAATAGGTTTCTAACATTAATGCTCATGGCCTGGGCTGGGATAACCGATGGGGGGTCCTCAGTGCTCTGGCTCAGGGCCTCAGAGCCAAGAAAAGGACGTGGCTGAGTCCCCGGGGAGTCTTGCCCAGGTCTTACCTTCAGCCCATAGGACTCTGAGATCCACTTGTACACCCACTGCAGACCTGACATTCCCTCTGCGAGGCCAAAGCTGCTTCAGATTTCCTGTGGCCAATAGGAACCCTGCTCTACAGCCTGCTCCCCACTTTCTCCCAGCGTCTGCCCCCTCTCAAGAAGCAGCACCATATCTACCCAGATGCTCAGGCCAGGAGTCTCGGAGGCATTTCCATTCATTCCATTCTGCCACATTAAACGAGGCCCATCGGTTCCTCGTCTAGGAAGCCCAAGCCATCCTCTGCCACTACCCAGCCTCCTCCGGGCCACCCACTTGCCCCCATAACATGGTTTCACAGGGACCCCGACAATGCTATAGGAGAGCTTTGCTCTATGTATACTCCTCCATCAGCTCCCTGGGCGCTGAGTCAAAAACCTGGGCTCCCCTCATGTGGCCAAAGTGGCCTGCCACCCTGCTCTCCACCTGCATCTCCCAGCCCCTCCACACTCCAGTCACATGAGCTCTCAGACCCCAGAGCAACCCTCCCAAGACAGGTGACACACGTGTGCAAGCCCAGACACAGAGACACCCACAGTGGTAAAGAAGCACTAATCCTGTGCCCAAGCCTGCTTGAGCTGGCCTTGCTGGTATCCACTGTCAGCCTCTCTTGACTAGAATGAGAATTCCTTTAGGGGAGGGATTTTGGGGCCCAATTCAAGGCAGTGGCCCCAGTACCTGGCACATCAAATGTTTGTTGACTGAATGAGACTCATGTGCTGATCTAAAATGTGGTCTGAGGATCCTTCTCAATGTGGTACTCCAGTAAGCCTGAATTGTCGGAGTTGGCCTGCCAGATGCAACCTACTTTCAAAGTTTGTCTGGGCGGGTCTACACACCTCTAATTATTTGGGAATGAGACAGTGTACAAATAAATCATTTTAGCTCTCTCAACCAGTTGCCTTTCATTATGTGTAGAAAACCTTTCAGTCCTTTACCTTTTGTAGTGGAAAATGGTTTGGTGGGGTTGAGCTTCGAACCCAACAGGGCTATTGTTGGGTTCCCTCAGTGTTGGACATCTGCTGGCAGGGACCTTAGGGAGTCCGTGAGGACCTTCACACATGTTTGAACCAATGCATCAGTGAGGCTGCATGGTAGAAAAAGATGCCCAGGAAAGTCAGGTCATATATCAGCGATGGCGAACCTATGACATACATGTCAGAGGTGACATGCGAACTCATTTTTTTTTGGTTGATTTTTCTTTGTTAAATAGCATTTAAATATATAAAATAAATATCAAAAATATAAATCTTTGTTTTAGTATGGTTGCAAATATCAAAAAATTTCTATATGTGACATGGCACCAGAGTTAAGTTAGGGTTTTTCAAAATGCTGACACGCCGAGCTCAAAAGGTTCGCCCTCACTGCCATATATTGCTGCTTCCTTAGGACATCACCATTCACAACTCGCTGAGTCACCAAGATAGTTGGAAACAGGTTCTAGAAAATCTAAACTCCTGGGAATCCCAGGAGACCCAGAACTGGAGGAACCATTGGGAGGTAGAGGGAAAATATTTCCCAACAGGGAGACCGGGGGGCCAGGTAAGTTGGGGTGGGCTCTGGGTTTGATGACTGGTTTCTCTGTTCAGGGACATTTTGAAGCAAAAGGTGAATATTTCTGATGCTTTCGCAAGGTTTCTTGGGGAACGGGGTTGATGGCAGGAGGAAAAGGAGATGGAGGGAGAGAAGAGTAATTAGTGCTATTAATTACATCTCAACCACAGCCTACGTTTCTGCCCCGGGATTAAAGAAACATTCATTTGGAACGACTATTAAGGTCTTAAATTCAATGCTTCACAAATCAGGTCGGTGGAATGAAAATTCTTTCCCTGTAGGGACCAGGAGGCAGAGAGCAGAGAATTTTCTACCCAGGTTGCTGCAGCCCAGCTGAAAAAGTCAGGGCTCATGAGCCAGGGGGGAAGACGGTTCAGTTGTTATTGTTGCTGGCTGTTTTTATTTTTAATTTTTAAAGCTGCTTGAGGCAGGCACGTGCTCCAAATGTATAATCTAATATCCTATAAAACTCACTAATGTGATTATACTTTTATATCATATTAGAGAAAATGAATACTAATTCAATACCAAACACTAATTCACTAGCACCCCAAATTGGTGAGAGGCTGCAAAACATTTACTGCTGAACTTTCCGGCTGGTGCCTAAGAGAGTGTGGTGATGTTTTCAGGAGTTGGTGTATCCGTTTGGTGAATTGGGTGATCAGAGATGTTGGGGGTCTGCCATCTCTCCTGTGGCGGACAGATGCTAGAGTGGGCCCTCCCAGGAAATATACATCCTGTCCCCTTTCAGGGACTTCTCAATGCTCAGAAGAAATTTCAAAACATATGAACTGCAATTCCTTTTGGATTTTAAAATTAAGTGTGTTGTTCAATAGGACAGTGTTGGCAGATCTGAGTCAAGATTGGGGACAGCTTCTTGAAAGGAAGACTGCTAAGAACTATACTAGGAAGTTAATATTAATGGCCAACATTTACTGAGCATTTACTGTGAGACAGGTAACTGGTAAACACTTTCCTTCCATTCATTCATTTAACTCTCAAGAGGACCCTATGAAGTAGGAACCATTTTTATGCCTGTTTGACAGATGAGGAAAATGGAGGCTCAGAGAAGTGAAGTGATTCATTCAAAGTCACACAGCCAGTTGAGGAAAGAGCTGGAATCCAGGCCAAGCAATCTGGATACAGAGCTGCATTCCTATCACTCAGCTTAACTGCTACCTCGGTAAGGAGTTGGGCCTGTTGACCAGACAAGTACATTTTACCCGTCTTATTTCATGTTAGTTTCGAGGCAGTTCTTGGGTAGATTTGTTATTATTTCCATTGTACAGATGAACAAATTGAGGTTCAAAAGTGACCTAATTTGCTTAATGTCACCCGCTACATAGGAAGCAATAGAACCAGGACTCACACTCCAGGCTGGCTGGCTCCAAGGTCAGGGCTGATAACCACTGTACTATACAACCTCCCAAGACCACAATCCTCAAAGGAAGTCCTCCATATCTTTCCTTTCTCCAAACCAGTGTTCATCAGAGCCTCTCTATTTTCCTGGAGCCTTTTCTGCTCCTACTTCTGACCGGGAGTCATGGAAGGGCAGTGTGGGTCAGCTTCTGGAATAATTCATTCCCTGGAAACTCTCTTGAGGGACCCCTGATTCCTTGCTCTCCCAATCCCTCCATCTCATGGGAACCATGTCCCATTTTATCATCAAACACCAGCTGCATCTCCCTGTTCTGGCCAGCCGCATCCAGAAATGCAGGGCCAGAATTACAATGCGTCAGTTCACCTTCATAAATAATATTTTGCAATTTCCTCATCCGGGGCATGGATAAATTATTCTTCTGTATCAAGGTTACAATGATCAAAAAGGTGGCCTGGCTGGCCTTCCTCGAGAGTAGGGATAAAAAGGAGGCTCTGATTACATCAAGGCGCCAGGCTGAGGGGGGAGCCCTGGGTCCCCGGGCTTCTGCTTCGTGGCTGCATGACAATCAGATATCTGAAAATGCATGAACTCTGATTTTAAGGTCCTGCTGGAGAAGGGATTGACGTGACAAGCAAGTCTGACTTTCACATCAGACGTTACAGTTGAGAGAAAGAGCCCTCTGATTAGAGTGCATTTAACACTGTTTTCTTGTTCCTTTCACTGAGAGCACCAAACTACCCAGCTACAATCACTCACTCACACACACACACACACACACACACACACACACGCACACGCATGTACACATTCACACTCATACGCATGTACACATTCACACTCTCTCTCTACACAGGGTGTTATGGGCTGAATTGTGACCCCCGAATTTATATGTTGGAGTCCAACCCGCCCAGGACTTCAGAATGGACATATCTTTTTTTGGAGATAAATTGAGGTAATGAAGTTAAAATGACATCATTTGTTGGGCCCCGATTCAATATGACTGGTGTCTTTATAAAAAGGAGAAATAGGATACAGTTAGCATAGAAGAAAAATGCCTTGTGAACACGAAGACGGCCTTCTCCTCGCCAAGGAGAGAGCCCTCAAGAAATCAACCTTGATGACACCTTGCTTTTGACTTGACGCCTCCACAACTGCAAGAAAATAAACTTCTGTTGGTTAAGCCCCAGTCAGTGGTACTTTGTTATGGCGACCTGAGCAAATGAACACACTAAGACACACTTTTTTAAAAGCAGGAAACAAGCTATCAAGTGGATCCTACTGGGATGCGGCCATTACTAGTATCTGAAGCTAATCTGTGTTCTTAATTATGTATCTGCTTATGGTCTATCTGTCCCCACTAGAATAAAAGCTCCATGAGGTCAGGCATATCTTCCCACCACTATATCCCCAGAAACCAGAACAGTGCAAAACTTGTAATACTAATTTGTTGAATGAATAAGTAATTGAATAAATGAATGAATGCCAGAAAGAATGAGTTTTGCTTTTACATGCTGCAATTTGGAAAGATGCCTCCATTGACCTGGAAGGATGGTAGGCAGAGAAATCTCTTAAAACAAAATCCAGGGGCTTACCTCAGCAAGAACCCCTGCACCTTGAGTTGCTTTGTGAAATGCAGAGAAGAAAAGGCAAGAGAAATGTTTGCCCACCCCACCACTATTTTCTTAGGTGCTCAATAAATATCCATTGAATGACTAAACAAATGACAACAGAAAGCCCTATTCTCAATAATCACTTGGAAATGGCCAGTGAGATAGCCAGACCCAATCCATGAGCATTTGATGGTGGGAGCGGGCCTGACCAGCCTTCTACTTCTCAGCCAGCTGAGAGATCTCCCTGCCCTTCTAGGGGAGGCCAATAGCACCAGACCCTTCTCTGGCTGTCTGTCAGCACTGAGAACTCATGACACAGTCTACTTCTCCCCACACACACTCATGACACCCCACAGCCCCCGGTTTCAGCAAGGTGACACTAACATTTAGCCTTCCCCCTGCACCTGCCCTCCATGCATCCAGTAGGCGCCCAATTCTCAATGCCCTCCCAAATCCAGATGAAACTGTGAATTCT